TTCAGGGGTTTGCGCTCGTAGATCTGGGGTTCGCATAATTCACAACGCTGCTTTCCACCAAGCCCGGCACGTTGATTACCCTGAACCATATCTGCGGTAATTCGCATTCTTAATCCTGTCTTTAGTTTTTCCAGGTCAATTTGTTTTCAGAAGGATTCCACCGATTTCGTTCCACAAGTTTAACGATATTGATCCGTACCAGGTTTACGCAGAATATCTTCACGAATCAAGTAATTCAGAAGCTATAGGGAAGCAGGAGCTTTAATCAGTTCATTCTTATCATCTCTTATGCATAATATTCTCATAATGAATTGCCCAACCATGTCACAATGTCTTTTTGATTGAAAAATGTTATAAATTATCAAAGCTTGATAAATTATTATATCGCGAATATCTTCTTACAAGAGCTCAATTGCTCATTGACATACTTTCGCCCTTTCTTAAAAATTTGTTTTAATTCCGGAGTTCTAGGAATCATGGATGGAGATGACGAACTTGTAGACTGTGAGCTACTTATTGCCTCACCCACATCAGGTTATTCATAAGTCAGTTTACCATCCAAGTTTGGGAATGCTTTGTTTAGATGCAGAAATCCACTATCTTACTGATTCGTCTTCCTCTTCTGAGAAGGTAATACACAATGGTGTCATTATATTGAGAGTAGTTTTTATATCCTTCATCATTTTTAGGATAGTGAGCTTTTGCAGAACACAGATGTAAAACTGTGTACTTCTTTTGTCTCAGTTGAGAAAAAGATTGAGTAAGTTTGTGTAGATTTTCATTTATTCAATGTGTTAGTCTTGATAGGAGTTCGATGCCATTGGTCTTTATAAGTCTATGTCAAAGTATTCTTTACGCTTTATGAAATATTGCTCCCACTCTTTCTTTAGCCTAGAAGTTGGACATTCTGATGAACGTGCTAATCGTCGTCCTGCAAACTCAGGTACTATGAGTTTAGTACCTCCGACCCAGTTAAAATTTGCAAATACCGTTTTCAGCAACCACTGATGAATCTTTGGGTGCTGAAGAGCTAGGTGAAGAGGAAGTCAACGAGGTTATTTTTGTATAGTTTTTATTTTACACGCTCAACGTTATTTTCAGGCGGCTGATAGTGTTTTGGCACTTTTCACCGAAAGTGACGTAAAAAGTGGTGCTCTTCCTGTGCCATTGCAAAAAT